CCCAAGCAAACTCGCCATATCTTCCCAAGCAAACTCACCATATCTTCCCAAGCAAACTCACCATATCTTCCCAAGCAAACTCACCATATCTTCCCAAGCAAACTCACCATACCTTCAAAGCAAACTCATCATATCTTCCCACGCAAACTCACCATATCTTCCCAAGCAAACTCACCATACCTTCAAAGCAAACTCACCATATCTTCCCAAGCAAACTCACCATATCTTCCCAAGCAAACTCACCATATCTTCCCAAGCAAACTCACCATATCTTCCCAAGCAAACTCACCATATCTTCCCACGCAAACTCACCATATCTTCCCAAGCAAACTCACCATACCTTCAAAGCAAACTCACCATATCTTCCCACGCAAACTCACCATATCTTCCCAAGCAAACTCACCATATCTTCCCACGCAAACTCACCATATCTTCCCAAGCTAACTCACCATATCTTCCCAAGCAAACTCACCATATCTTCCCAAGCAAACTCGCCATAAACTTCCAAGCAAACTCACCATATCTTCCCAAGCAAACTCACCATATCTTCCCAAGCAAACTCACCATATCTTCCCCAAGCAAACTCGCCATATCTTCCCAAGCAAACTCACCATCCTTCAAAGCAAACTCACCATATCTTCCCAAGCAAACTCACCATCCTTCAAAGCAAACTCACCATATCTTCCCAAGCAAACTCACCATATCTTCCAAGCAAACTCACCATACCTTCAAAGCAAACTCACCATATCTCCCCACGCAAACTCACCAAATCTTCCCAAGCAAACTCACCATATCTTCCCAAGCAAACTCACCATATCTTCCCAAGCAAACTCACCAAATCTTCCCAAGCAAACTCACCATATCTTCCCAAGCAAACTCGCCATATCTTCCCAAGCAAACTCGCCATAACTTCCCAAGCAAACTCACCATATCTTCCCAAGCAAACTCACCATATCTCCCCACGCAAACTCGCCATAACTTCCCAAGCAAACTCACCATATCTTCCCAAGCAAACTCGCCATATCTTCCCAAGCAAACTCACCATATCTTCCCAAGCAAACTCACCATATCTTCCCAAGCAAACTCACCATATCTTCCCAAGCAAACTCACCATATCTTCCCAAGCAAACTCACCATACCTTCCCAAGCAAACTCACCATATCTTCCCAAGCAAACTCACCATATCTTCCCAAGCAAACTCACCCTATCTTCCCAAGCAAACTCACCATATCTTCCCAAGCAAACTCGCCATATCTTCCCAAGCAAACTCACCATCCTTCAAAGCAAACTCACCATATCTTCCCAAGCAAACTCACCATCCTTCAAAGCAAACTCACCATATCTCCCCACGCAAACTCACCATATCTTCAGTCATGTCTGCCTGTGCGTCTGCGTCTCTGCGTATGTGTCTGTGTCTGTGTGTGTTTGTGTGTGTGTATCTTTGTGTCTGCGTGTGTTTGTATTGTGTCTGTAGGTGTGTAATTTTGTATGTGTGTCTGTGTGTGTTTGTGCGTGTGTGTTTGTGCGTGTGTGTCTGCGTGTATGAATGTGTGTATGTCTGCATGTGTATATGTGTGTATGTGTCTCCATGTGTCTGTCCGTATGTTTGCCTGTCTGTGTTTGCTACGTGTATGTGGCTGTATGTGTGCCTGTGTGTGTGTTTGTGTGTGTGTCTTTGTTGTGTTTGTGTGTTCGTTTGTATGTACCTGCGTGTATGTGTGTGAGTGTATATATATATATGCGTCTTTTTGTGTATATATACCTGTGCATGTGTGTATATATATATATATATATATATATATATATATATATATATATATATATAAAGAGGAGAAAAATATATCAAATGTTGAGGAGGCTCCTTAATTTTTTTTGCTGTAATCAACGTCGACGTTGGTGTAGTTGTCATAGTCGCCCGACGTCGCTCTCATGGACGCCCTTGTTCCTGGATACCTAGAGTTTACACTCTCAGCCCGAGTGTACTCGTGAGCTCTCAAGCTCTCATGTAGGTGCTGATTACACATCATCATGTTGGGGCGTTACTTTGACTATCTTACACTCTCGTAATACCACACGAGGAGAGGAGATCGACTTCATTGCACCGGGTTTTTATCTTTTATTACACATGGCTCGGTCTTTCTCCGCAGAACGGATAGCCGTCCACCGAGAACATCACTCATTACGATTTCCGTAGTTTCGGTGACGATACCCTGGGACCTCTGTGAAAATTGCATCCTTATTCTCGTAAAATGTAATGAAACAATCCACTAACAATGAAAATGGGAATGGTTAGCTCGTTGACTGACAGACGGACCGGCAGAAATAAAAGAAACATAGACATGCAGACAAACGGAGGGACCGACAGACAAACTGACTAACTTGACATACGGGCGTACCTAGGATGGACACATATACGAATAAAGAGACAGATCGGGGGAAAAATGTGGTGATATACATTTATGATAATTGATATATTTAATCGTCAATTTCACACCATCCC